ATAATATAATATAATATAATATAATATAATATAATATAATATAATATAATATAATATAATATATACACGCACACACAAAATAAGTGCTTTGCAGATTTTATATATGTATATTAAAGTATTGGCACATGATCTATGCACCATATCACAAGATCATGCGTTTCAGTTTGTGTAACTTAACATGTGCACAACTTTAACTAAATTTCTGTTTTAGTGACTGACAACAGGCATGTAAGTATCTTACCAGTCCCCATGTTTCTTTTAGCTGAGAGATTCTGTCTTTACTGCCTCTTCTAGAAGTCTTTGATTGCTCTTCCCTTTTAGTTTACGCAGTAGCAAATGAAGCAACGCATGCAGAAATGAGCTGATAAAAAACCAGGAACACCCCAGAATATGCTAATGCTGCAACACTTTTGTAATTATGCTTTAAAAGTGGGAGACGCCTTATATGTGTAATACTGTACAAGGTCTGTCTTGTTATAGTGTGTGGTTTCCAACATTTTAGTTCTGCTATGCAGTCTTTAGTAACCACTTTCACTATCCTACCCAATCACCCTCACTCTCTGGCTTATCAGATGGGCATGAAAAACAACAAACCAACAGTAGCTGTTTTAGAAATCTATTGTTCTGTTTGTCACAAATTCACCAAACATCAGCATTGTGGGATTTGCTAACATCAAATGTCAGTTGTAATAGTAATAACTAGTAAAATACTAGTGCGATTGTTATTCATTTACCGATAATATTGTAATCATTGATGGAAAGATGGGAAACGTGGTGTGCTCTTATTTATTTTGCTAGCAGTATATTAAAGGGAAGCCTACACATGTGTGTTTTGCTGATTTATTTATTTTTTTCTTAAGCTTCAGTTATTAGCAATTGTTTGGTCGACCCAGCTGCGCAGGTATGACACACGAGAATACACAGCAGGGGTGTAGACATTGCAGTTAGAGGTTCCCCAGGACACAATACCAGTGAGGTACCATACACCACTGCTCTCACAGACCAGAGGGCCACCAGAGTCACCCTAAAGTAGACAAAGGGGATGTTTTTACTTTGTTGATATAAAAGAAAATATTACATTTTTATCATGCTCTTGATATTATTCAGCAGTGATGCATTTAATTTCTGCATTTTCTGAAAATTCTGAGCTACCCCCTAAAATTTGACCTTCTAAGAGTATTTCTGATCATTGTCATAATCATTTTGAAGTGGTTGTTACCTGACAGGAAGACACTCCAGAAGCACCAGCACAGATCATGGCATCAGTGATTCTGTTGTAACCCCAGTAGCTCTTGCACTGATCAGGGCTGATCAGAGGCAGGGCGGTCTGCTGGAGGAAGCGAGGGCTTGCTGAGAAAAACAAAAAAAAGGATAGGAATAAAAAGAATTAGTCTAATTGCAAACGAAGTCTTTCACATTTTTCTCCAGGAACTATGCAGCAGTGTATATTATTCATTTATTTATCTGCATTACCTTTTTGTAAACTAAGTTTTTTACACCAGTGTATTGTGAGATGATTATCTCAATGCACCCGTTGGAAAAAAACTCACATGTTACTCCAGTCCGGCCCCATCCAGTGGTGACACATTTGGTTCCAGAGGGGATGCTGCTGGTGGAGGACATCAGGCACACAGGTGACACACGGGAAGTATACTGTGCTGGGGAGGACAGCCTCAGAAGAGTGATGTCATTGTTAAAGTTCTGGGAGTTGTAGTAGGGGTGAGTGATGGCCTAGATGAAGAGGTGAGGATAAACCACACACAAATGTAATACGATTCAGACAAGGGCTTTGATGAAGACAACTTTCATTTGTGTTGTATTATAGCTCACCCTAGAAATGTACATGACCTGAATTGGCTCGCTATTGTACTGCCGATCATGTTCTCCCAGGATCACACGGTGGTGTGATGGACTAAAAAAAAGAAATAAATCAGGTGGATGATCAAAGTGTTGGAAGACTTATTGTGTTGCTACAGCACTCAAGTGACTTACTTCACACCGCAGTGAGCAGCAGTGACAACCCAGTACTGGTTGATCAGTGAAGCTCCACAGAAGTGGAATCCAGTGCTATCCTGCAATAAAGAAAAAAAAATATCTGTAACAAACTTCTACATTTTAATTTAAAATGAAATAAGTTGTTGTAAATCGTGACTGTAGCAAAACCACATTGTTTGTGAGTAGTAAATAACTGAAACTACCTGAAGCGAAACCTGCCAAGGCCAGGAGCCAGACACAGCATTTTCCCCGTTCACAATCTTGTTGTATCCACTCACTTGGGGCTTGATAGCAGGCACTCCACACCCTGAGACCCAGTGACATAAAAAAAGCTCAAAGTTATTTGACAAAAAGTGTCAGAGTTAATTCTGTATGTATTTTTGTACTTGTCTTTTTTGGTGGTGCACAAAATGCTTAACTGTGTTTCCCATTTTCGCACACAGCTGACCAGTGTGTAAAGTGTTTACTTTTGTGCAGCTAGTCAAACAGCAAGAGTAAAATCCACAACTACCACCACAGATCTCAGAGTGTGGTAGCAAATTTCTTTGTCATGAAATCACAAATCACTCACCCAATGCAGAGGCCACAAGAGCAAAGCAACTGATGATCAAGAACATGTTTGTGTTTCGGTCGTGATTCCCGAGTTTCAGATGTGGGGCACACTTGCTTTTATATGCACATCCAATACGCTTGACCCTGAACTGCATGTGTAGGTCTTCATGCCCCACCCACAATCCCCCCTTTCATGTGCCCACAGTATGGGAAAATGGCATCTGGTGATAAACTCAGTTTTTGCTGAATTCTAAATTCATTTTGCTAAAAGGCAAAAGCACCAAGTTGTCATGTAATAGACAGGAAAAACCTTTCATTGACCTTTGATCAAGATGTTCCAAGGTACATGCTCTTGCTTGCATCTTATCTTTCAAACTCACACATTTACAGTCAACATCTCACCTCTTTTTAACATCGACCTTTTTTCATTGTGGCAGTATTTCCTGTAAATATTTCTTGTTAATAGGCAGGAAAAAGATACTGATCAGATCACATGTGGTTCGTTTACAGGAACCAGTTTTATCTGCACTTTTCTACAGCTGCAAGTTGAGTGTCTCTGTGCATACCTTAGTTTCACAAATGAGAAGATACACACGTTAAAGTTTTCAAATCAGAATTTACTGTTGATATTTATTGATTTTTTGCATAAAAAAGCATTGATACAAAGGTGTGACTTTTAAACTATCTAAATATGCATCTGGATATTGAATGTGATGTGTGCTTAGATATTGCAAAACATTTGTTATAAACTTGACTAGATATTTATCAGATGTGTACTAGGTAAGGTGAATATCTATTGGCAAATAGTAAAAAACACTGAGTTCAGTCAACTTCCTCGATAGTTGGGCCAGAAGAGGAGCCACCTCCTGCACCGCCAGGGAAGCCACCGGGCATTCCTCCTGGCATTCCTCCTGACATTCCTCCTGGCATGCCCCCTTGATATAGTTTAGAGATGATAGGGTTGCACACCTTCTCCAGTTCCTTCTGCTGGTGATCATACTCCTCCTTCTCTGCCATCTGGGGAAAGAAAAGAGCAAATATACTCTACTATGACAGAAGGCTTTGTGGGTCAGGAGTTGACAGGAAGCATATGACAGGAAAAGGAAAAAGGATATTGATTCATAACTTTGATACAATGTAATGCTCACTGCTTTCACAATTTTAGATAAAGAGGAACCTCGGCCTACTTTTAAGGCATGGCTTTTTACCTGGTTTCTGTCCAGCCATGCAATGACTTCGTTGCACTTGTCCACAATAGTCTTCTTGTCCTCTGGGCTGATCTTGTCTTGGAGTTTCTCATCCTCTACGGTGCTCTTCATGTTAAAGGCGAGAGATTCAAGGGAATTCTTGGCTGTCACTTTCTCCCTCTGGACTTCATCCTCAGCCCTGAACTGCTCTGCTTCCTGCACCATGCGCTCAATGTCTTCTTTGCTCAACCGGCCTGTGACAGAATTAAATTTTTTTCCCCTGCATTCATGTATAGGATTTGATTTTTTCATAATAAATTTGCTGCTGGATATATGAATTAGTGTGTATTTTTTCATAATTGTACCTTTGTCATTGGTGATAGTTATTTTGTTCTCCTTTCCAGTGCTTTTGTCCACTGCAGACACATTGAGAATGCCATTTGCATCAATGTCAAAGGTCACCTCGATCTGAGGAACCCCTCTTGGAGCAGGTGGAATACCAGTCAGTTCAAACTTCCCAAGGATGTTATTGTCCTTAGTCATGGCTCTCTCACCTTCATACACCTGAAAACAATTATTCATATTGTAGCTTAATGTATCAGAGTCAGGTTTTAGTGTACACAAGTACCTAGAATGCAGCTGGGCATAAGGGTTAAACAGTTACACAACTTTAACCCTGATGTACCTGAATGAGCACACCGGGCTGGTTGTCTGAATAGGTGGTAAAGGTCTGGGTTTGCTTAGTGGGGATGGTGGTGTTTCTCTTGATAAGGACAGTCATTACTCCTCCAGCTGTCTCGATTCCCAGGGAAAGGGGTGTGACATCCAGCAGGAGTAGGTCCTGTACATTCTCAGACTTATCCCCAGCCAAGATGGCGGCCTGCACAGCTGTGGAGATTTTCCACAAAGTTAAACTGATTATGGTTTCAGTCAGCAGCTCTGTTTTATTGAGCCATAGCTGAAATATATAGTGATAAATGCTGCAGAGACCCACCTGCACCATAGGCGACAGCCTCATCAGGGTTAATGCTCTTATTGAGGTCACGACCATTAAAAAAGTCTTGGAGCAGCTTTTGAATCTTAGGGATACGTGTGGAGCCGCCCACCAGGACAATATCATGGATCTGTGTCTTGTCCATCTTGGCATCCCTCAGGGACTTCTCCACAGGCTCGAGGGTTCCACGGAACAGGTCTGCATTGAGTTCTTCGAAACGGGCCCTGGTGATGGAAGTGTAGAAATCTGTACCTTCGTAGAGCGAGTCGATCTCGATGCTGGCCTGGGTGCTGCTGGAAAGGGTACGCTTGGCGCGTTCACAGGCCGTGCGGAGGCGACGCACGGCTCGCTTGTTGTTGATGATGTCCTTTTTGAACTTGCGTTTAAACTCAGCTGTGAAATGGTTCACCATGCGGTTGTCAAAGTCCTCACCGCCCAAGTGTGTGTCACCAGCAGTGGCCTTCACCTCAAAGATACCGTCCTCAATAGTCAAGATTGACACATCAAAAGTACCACCTCCGAGGTCAAAGATAAGCACATTGCGCTCCCCACCAACCTAAATTGAGAGGAGAGAATTACAAAGAGGAAGCCAAAATAGCAAAAGCTGAACATTTTAAAATTAGCTTACCTTCTTGTCCAGTCCATAAGCAATAGCTGCAGCAGTAGGCTCATTGATGATGCGCAGTACATTAAGGCCAGAGATGGCCCCAGCATCTTTGGTGGCTTGACGCTGGGAATCGTTGAAGTAAGCTGGAACTGTGATGACTGCATTGGTCACAGGCTGTAAAGAGAATAAGACACTAAGTTAATATTGCTTCTTTTTTTTAGATCTGAAACTGCAAACATGAAAACTGTAAGGAACCACTTTATCTAACTATAATTTACTATACAGACACCACAGACACTAGATAACCTGGGGAACCTGCTTCATGTCAAAGTCATTAAACTTCAGTGCTATTATATTTTCGAGAAGTATTCATATTTAGAAAGATTAGCCAGTTTAGTTTGCTGATAGTTGCAGGGTTTTTTTCCTGCATAAAACCCTACTTTTCCACCTAATTTCAACGATCCTGTTATCCATTCACTTTTATCTACCTTGCCAAGATATGCTTCAGAAATCTCCTTCATTTTGGTGAGGACCATCGAGGATATCTCCTCTGCGTAGAAGGTTTTGATCTCACCCTTATATTCAACCTCCACTTTAGGTTTGGATGACTCATTAATGACTTTGAAGGGCCAGTGCTTCATATCAGATTGTACCACGAGATCGTCAAACTTACGACCAATCAGACGCTTTGCATCTGGAAATAGATTTAATGGAAAAAATTCGAATTGGTTAATGTAATGTTCAGTTTGGAGTGTATCGACAATATTTACGTGGTTATAAAGTGAGGACACAAAGAATACTTTTATTTGATCACTGCTTCAACTGATTTGTCGGTTGGGTATTGGAGTTCTTACCAAATACAGTGTTGGTTGGGTTCATAGCCACCTGGTTCTTGGCGGCATCTCCAATAAGTCTCTCTGTGTCTGTGAAAGCCACATAACTGGGTGTCGTCCTGTTTCCTTGGTCATTAGCAATGATCTCCACTTTGCCATGCTGGAAGATTCCCACACAGGAATATGTGGTGCCTAGATCAATACCCACTGCTGGTCCTTTAGACATCTGTGACACAGAAGAGAAACGTAGTACTGCAATCCCACATTTTTGCACATACTCATCATTATTGAGCCAAGGATTATTATCTGTTTGTATTTTTATAGTTCTAACATTTTCTGTGTGAAAATGTTATTTAAAATGTTACTGTAAGCATCTTGAAAGGTGAACCTGGTGCTGTTACATAAGCCCAGACACCACTACCACGTGAGGTCCGGTTTGCGGTGGTGTGCTGTCACAGTACCACAGTGACTTAAATGACCAGCTGACACTTGAAACATATACTACTGCTCTTCTGCCTTGGCAACATAATACTAGAGTGTCTTACTCAAGCTTTTAAATGTGCTACACTAACCCTGCAGTAGTGACCGGTGTATCTATTTTCCGACAGCTGGCTCTAAATAGCTTTCACTTATTATATAGAGTATCCTCCTGTCTGCATAGTAATGAATGGAGTGTGACAAAAAATTTTCAGGGATCAGTTAATCAGAGACTCAAACCTGGCCTGGTTCCTTTTAAAACTAATGATGTGAAAAAAGAAATGGACAGCATTGACGTTCAGAAGGATTAGCAAAGTAGTCCTCTTATTATCACAGTTCTTGGAGTCGTGTTTTGAATTAATTGCCAAACTAAGGGAGCAAGACCCTTTTAGGAGCTGTGAAAATCACAAACACCCAGTTGATTATTACACTAAATCACAGAGCATAACGTTTCTTGGCTTATCTCCTGTTTTCTTTCTGTAAATGTGTCAATCATTGTTCCTCCAAGGCTCCAGATATGTTGCAAACAGAACTTATTATTGAATTATCACTTGTTATCCAGTTGGGTAACCACAGAGCAGAAAATGCTAACAAACTGTTGTGGCAGCACTGTACCAACATCTGAAACTTGTTGCAAGACTGTTTTTACATGGAAATTAACCACCCACACAGAAACCACCCATGACCTTTGTGGAAATTTGAGAAACGTGAGCACTTTTCTTCATAGAGAATTAGATTTATTTTGTCATGCGATTGTTTGAAAAGAACCATGCAAGCCTCACTTGCTTGTGAATTTGACTTCTGCCAGTTAGACGTTGAAAGCAGTAAGCAAGACAGACTATGAAGCAAGGCCAGAAAGCAATTTATGCTTTTTATTCTTGTTACCTTTGCTGTTGAATTTTCAGCGCTTGACAGTTTACAGAATTAAAATGCTTTTTTTTCGCTCAACACCCAACACAGCCGTCTGAGCTTCTCTCCAGCACTCCTTTCCCCTCTTCTGGCAGGCCGACTAAGAGGACGAGTGTCAGTTCCCCAGTGTATAAAGAGCACTGTGCAAGGAGAGAGGGTGTCAGGTGATCCCATTGAGGAAAGTTCTCGACCCACGTCTTCTCTCTCCGAATCTCCAAATAGATTTCTATGTAAAAGCCTCTATTTTTAACTCTGTGGTTCTCTCCCAGTTTTACAGAACATAGGCATTACAGAACATGCTCTGTAATGAAGAAAGGTAGTTCCTGAACATTGATAATTAGGTTCACATACTCCATAAATGGTGATGAGTGAGGACACCGTTTTTATTAAAAACAGCTTGTAAATATTGCATGGTGCACATTAACTCACTTTAGCAGAACTATTTTTTATAGCACTGACCTCATTTGCGATAATCGCCTGTAAAGTCCATCTTTTTTATGTGTCTGAAGTCGCACAGTTATTCAGATTTGATGTTAAGGCTTCTTAGAGGATCTTCTTTTGCATTCCTACATATCAAATGACTTTAATTCAGCTCAATCAATTCACATAGTAAAACAGGGTCTTTCAAAACACAAGGTCATCTTTTATTTAAAAAATTCAAAAATGTAAATGAAACAGGTTTATTCACCAGCAGAATAAAAATCTTCAACACTTTTACTGAGGTACATTTTCTTAAACATTCATAGTGTAGTGTGCATGTTTGTCATTCTCTATTTAGGACAGTTATGCAATGTGGTTTCTTGGAAACTTTGTGGTACACATACTGTAGGCCCCTCTGATACATGTATCATCTACCATTAAATATAACTGCCAGCGAAGAGACCGGGCCTATTTATAAACTGCTAACAACCTGGAAAAAAAATAAAACAAAGCTCCTACTGTGAAGTAATAAAAGATTAGACCTTGCATAAAAAAAATAAAATAAAATAAAAAATCACCGCACAACAACTCGCACCCAGTGTTGGTCAACTATAAGACAATAAATAGTGTACACGTACTCATAGTGATGAGTGAGCAAATTTAAAGTGAGCAGCAACCAGCAGTACATTAGTGTTTCCCTCAGACAAAAAAGTAAGTGGCATCAAAAAGTGCATGTAGGGATTAACTGTCAGCTACAGATTACAACCTGTGAGATCATTAAAAAAATAAATAAAATCATTTTAAAACAAATAAACTACGGAGATGATAAAAAAAGTCCTCGTGTTTGCTCCGATCAGGCCTGCAGCGACCGTTCGTAAAATCCCAAGCACAGCGCTTGCAGTAGTTGTAGAAATGATGCTCGGCTTTCTTCAGTATACTGTTCAGGTCCAGTGTCCCCTGAAGGCTGCACAAAGCACACACACACACACATTAACTAACACATGCACATCTTATTTGTGATGAGCCGTGTGATGCAGCACAAAAACAAACCCGTTAGCATATTGGAGGAGCTGAACGTCATCTGGGCACTGCAACAGAGACTCTCTGTGCTCTAAAAGGATGGCTGCACAGATGAAGAGCTCAAAGGTGAAGTCAGTGTTGATCGCCTGCAGCTCTGACTCTGAACCGTCTTCTGGCAATATCACAAGGCAAGGGCATAATAAGAAGTAGCAAAGAGGTTTGTGTTTTTTGTGGGAGTTTTTCTACTTTTTCTTTTGTGTTTCCGGGCTTTACCTGTGCTGAATTTCTGAGCAACTCTTTCCTGGTAACGAGCTCGGTCGACTTGCTGTGAGATGAGCTCCAGGTGGTCACAGCTCAGGATCTCGAACAAGCGTAGTGCTTCGCTGTGTTCAAACTCCCTCTGGAAACCAAGCAGCAGCCACCTTAAAGGAGGGGCAACATGTGCTTATATGTAAATAAGACGTTTGTGTGGGGGGGGAAACAAAACAAAACAAAAAAACCTTGCAAAACTGCATTTGAAAACTCAAAATAAAAAAATAAAATAGAGCACAGAAAAACAAAGCCTTGCAGATCTACCTGTGACAAAACGTAAACCTCTCCATGTTGCCTTTCACCAGATGAGCATAAAGCGGAGGGTCCAGTTCCTTCAGCAGAGCTGCCTCCAACTCTAGATGTTAAACAAAACTTTTATACTTTAACTAAACTAATTTATACAAAACATTTTTTTGTTTTTATAGAGACTTAACTCTATTTTAATTGGATTTTGGGCTAATATGATTTTGTTCTGCATATCCGACCTACCATCAAATTTCTACCCTGGAAATAAAGTTAGTGTCTTTGTTTGACCACTAGGGGTCATAAAGTAACATATTACTCTTTCGATAAAAAGAAAAAAAGCAGGCAGTGCTTGACTGAACTATTAAAATAAGGGTGCATATGAGCACAACGGTGCAGAAGCTGAATGAAATGTATTATCTGAAACAGAAAAGGAAAGTTTAATTTACAGATCTTACACCATGACAACAGTGGGTGTGGCAGACATAAACAAAACACTACTTTGTGTCAAAGTATTTTTTTTAAATATCTGTTTTGTTATTGCTACCTATTTTCCTGTGTAGACCATCGGCCCTGAAGTCCCTGGAGAATTTCTCCATGTAGCACGAAAAACTCCAGAAAGTGTCAACCTCACAGTCGAGGACCTCCAGGAATCGGCTGCACAGGTCATTCATCCCCTGGGCATAACTAACCTCTGGATTTACAGCAAAGGGAGCAATGCATAAACAGTTAGCCTCTTTTTTATGGCTCAACAAACAACCTTTAAATCCATCTGATCCAGACCGAGTCAGCAAACCTGACACAGGGTCGTTTACCTGGATGAAAAGCAGCATAAGTGATAAGGATTTCTCGCAGAACCAACAGATTGCCTAAGCCTTCATTCCTGCAAACATCCACAGACACAAACAATATTAGTATGTTATAAATAAGCAGAATTAGTTCAACACAGCTGCCAAAACTTGTTTTGATGCGTAACACTGGTGATGCTTTATGCCCCAAATTAAACCTTCACTCATGGAGAGATTGTCAGATGTGACATTTAACTACTAAGTCTTCAATTGAAAGTCAGTTAAATAATTTTAAGTTTCTAAGAAAGAAAATGAAGCGAGGGGTTTTTATTCAGTGTTGTCCACTTAGTCATCATTTACCCAACTTCACTTTTCCTTAATAGAGCAAGCTGGATTCCTACCCAAAATTTAAATGTTTAAAATGATTAAGCTCGTCAAGAACAAAATGCAGGTGACAGAAACTGCAAAAAAGGCAGTTTAATTATGAACATTAAATGCTATTCATACCCAGTAACACTGATTTGGGTCATTTACATAGAAAAGAGGAAAAATCTTGTCAAAATGCATTAAAAATGTTCAACTAAATTTTTTAAAATCATCTGTTGGTTAACAGCATTTATTGGCTGTATTTAAAAGTGTGAACATAAATATCTTATTAATGAAAGGCCTTCAGAATATTTCCTTTTCTCCTACTTCCCACCCACTTTTCCAGTTCAGTGTCACACTGGTCTTGGAGCTTACCACCGCTCCCTCAGATATCTGTAGCCTCGATTCAAAAACTCATTTTAAGCCGCAGTTAGTCCAAATTTAGAATCTGAAATGTAGTTTAGACTGAAGAATCTACACATCATCATCTCTAACATGATGCCGATACATGACACATTTTTCCAATCAGTGAACAAATGATTATTCACTGACCATTGTGTCATGTGTCTAAATGCTGTCTCATGGTGAGATACAGGAGCTGCACTGAAGCAGAGAGGAGGCTACAGCACATCAATTAATACAGCTCAGAAGATCACCAGGTCCTCTCTGCCCCATTTGACTTGTTCACTTCCTGCTGCCTCAACAGTGTGTAAAATATTTTCAATTCAATTCTATTTATATAGCACCAAATCACAACAATAGCTGCCAAGGTGCTTTATATTGTAATGTAAAGACCCTACCATCATAGACCGAAAAACACCCCTATGAGCAAGCACTTTGGTGACTGTGGGAAGGAAAAACTTTTAATAGGAAGAAATCTAAACCTAAGTGGAAAGTTTTAAGCCTAATCGTAAAAGTACAGACAGCGTCTGTCTCCCGAATCCAAACTGCGGTGGTTCCACAGAGGAAGGACCTTAAAGCTGAATTCTACTTTTAAATATTCTAGAAACCACAAGTAAACCAAAAGTCTGAGAGTGCAGTGCTCTAATGGGGTGACATGGTACTATGATGTCTTTAAGATAACATGTGGCTTGATTATTCAAGACCTTGTATGTGAGGAGAAGGATTTTAAATTCAATGGATGGAACAGGGAAGCCAAAATAGGAGAAATGTGCTTTTTCTAGTCCTGGCAGTAGTCTTGCTGTAGCATTTTGGAACAACTGAAGGCTTTTCAGGGAGTTTTAGGAAAACCTGATAACGAATTACAGCGTCAACTTGAGACAGGATATTTTTAATTTTGGAGATATTGCCAAAATGGAAGAAATCAGTCCTAGATATTTGTTCATTATGTCCATTGAAGGACATGGCCTAATTAATATAGACTCAAAGATTCCTCACAGTGTTACTGGAGATCACGGTACATGCCATCCAGAGTAAGGATCTGGTTAGACATCACATTTCTAAGATTTTTAGGGCTGAACACAAAAACCTGAGTTTTATCGGAATTCAGAAGCGAGAAATTAGAGGTCAATAGAGGTCATTAGAGGCAGATCGTTACGTGTATTATCTGGTTTCATGGAGACCTGGGTATCATCTGCAGAGCAGCGAAAATGTATGCTATGCTTTCTGTGTAAACAGACTGTACAGAACTGGTTCTAGTGTGGAACCCTGTGGAACTCCATAATTAACCTTAGTGTTTGAAGAAGACTCCATTAACATGAACAAATTTGAATCTGTTAGTTAGATATGACTCATACTACTGCACAGCACATTATCTTTAATACCTACAGGATTTTGTAATTACTGTAATAAAACATTATGGTGAACAGTATTTAATGTTGCATTTAATGTTAAAGGTCTAGCACAGGGGTAGGGAACTCCAGGCCTCAAGGGCCTGTCCTGCAGGTTTTAGATGAATAAAGATTAATTCATTACAAGGCCTCTGGAGACTTCAAGACATGTTGAGGAGGTGTTTTGGCCATTTAAATCAGCTGTGTTGGCTCAAGGACACATCTAAAACCTTCAGTACACTGGAGTTCCCCACTCTAGCAGGACAAGCAGATGTATGAGTCCACTGTCAGAGGCCATAAGAATATGATTTGTAACCCTCACTAAAGCTGTTTTTGTACTGTAATGAGCTCCGAAACCTGAATGAAACTCCTCAAATAAACCATTCTCTGCAGATGATCTGTTCCACTGCTTTGTAAGATTTTTTTATTTTTAGATAAAAGGTTGGTTGGAAATTGGGTTATATTTTAGAGGATCCATCACATCCTTGTTCTGACTGATTCAACTTGCTCACCTCTGGCATCAGCTACAGCAACTTGTAGATCAAGGGGGACCAAAAAGAAACGGTTTCTTCTCAAACACCAGTACAACGGTAAACTTTGCACTGACTCCCCTCTCTACCACCACTACCACATCCTCTTTTATTAAGAGTATTCTTCTTGGTGCATTAAGTTCTCTCCTGTACAGTACCACAATGAGTGGTATCTTACATTTTTAGAATACTCTGTATATTATATTTATCTATACTCTGTGTAATATTGTATTGATATTTGTTAAGTCACTGTGAAATTACAAAATACTTATCTCTACAACTCTCAAATGTACAACTACAGTGGGGCAAAAAAGGATTTAGTCAGCCACCGATTGTGCAAGTTCCCCCACTTAAAATGATGACAGAGGTCAGTAATTTGCACCAGAGGTACACTTCAACTGTGAGAGACAGAAT